CCTGCCCTCCCGTGCCCCTCTCCGCCCCGCCCCTCCCCCGGTGCGTCGTCGTGGTCGTCGCCGCCGCCGCGCCCGCCGCCTCGTCACCGCCCGGTCCCCACCGTCCTCCTGTCCGTGTGATGTTTACGTTTCGCCATCCACGGTGCCGGTAGGGGCGGAATGGTGGCAACCCTTTACTACCCTCTCCTTCTGTCCCCCCCTCTCTCTCTCTCTCTCTCACACACACACACCCACACACATTGTGTTCTCGACCGTCACATAGTTTTCCCGCCCGTCGTTTTATCAATAATTCCCTTCTGTTTATGTTGTCAGATAGCAGGAGCGACGACGGTTAACCCCCCCTTCCCCCTCTATCCTCTTCAACTCTACCCCCAGTCTCTCGTCATGTCGAAAGCTCTCTCTCTCTCTCTCTCTGCGATAACACGTGTGTGCAACTATTACATAAAGTGCATCGGACGGGGTAATTTTTCGGTTGTTAGATGTGCGGGTTTGGGGGGGGGGGGTGAAGTCGCCCAGGACAGGAAAAAGGAGATCGGTGATTGTCAAGTGTTCCTGTACGCATGGCCTCGTAAGCGGATTATTCCATTCGTTTCTTTTTTAAAGGTTTCTTTTATTCCTATCCCTTTTTCATTTGCACACGCGCGTTATTGTGATAGAACAGTGTCCCACACTCAATGTACATTCGTGTGGTTTTTTCCCATTTTTTTTTGTTATTATTTCCTCGCCGCACCTGCCGAGGGCCCTGCTGCCCGCCCCCCTCCCCTCCCCGCGCGCCGCGTGACGTCATCGCCAGTTTATCTCTTGCTTACGCGTCGCGCAGCCAGGCGGCAGGCGGCGGCAGCCGTACCGCTCGGTCGCCCATGCCAAAATCTCAAAACGCGATAATAGTAGCGGAGCGCCCCGGGACTGCTGCATCCGTCCCTGAGGGTGGTAGTGTGGGGGAGGGACGGGGGGCGAAGGGGTGGGCGACAAACTGCTTACAGCCCGCCCAACTAAATCGAACGCCGAGATAACTTTCCTTTAACAGCTCCCTCCTCCCTCCTCGTGAACAAATTGAAACATTTGTAGAAATGTTTCTTGGGGTAGTCTATGTTTTCCATCCTTCGAGTAGGTGCACGGGTCGCGGACGTGCCGAGAGCGCGCACTCTAGTGATGAATCATTCCCTTCCTCGAGTCAACTGGGGGGGTCGCCATAATAGTGATGGGGAGGGGCGGGGCGGACGCGGGGGAAGGGCCTCGAGGGAATGTCAGGCGGGCGCACTCGCGCCGCGCCCGCCGCGGGCCTCGACCTGCAGAAAAAAACGCGTAATTGTTTCCCGAATAGAAGGATGACACCTCATCTCGCACACGGCCGCCGATGCCGAATCACATCGCGGTCCCCCTCGCGACCTGGCTGCCGCGGCGGCGCGCGGCGCGGCGCGTGCGGCCCGAGCTGGCGCGGCGCGGCGGGGTCCTCCGCGAGGCAAAGTAGCGCGCCGCTGCGGCCGCGGCCACGGCGCCCCGCACGCGCGTCCCGGGCCGCGGCCGCGCACAGCCCGCCCGGGACGCGCCGCCCCGCATTGTGGCGCCCGCCCCGCGACATGACAACCCGTGTCACGGCGGCAACAGAGTGGCATCTGCTCAGGTCCGAGGGGTAGAGTGTGTCGGGCCGCGCAGCCCCGCGCCGCCCCCGCCGGCCCGGGCCAGCTTCAAGGCCGTGGGGCGGGCGCCGGCTCGGCTCGGCCCGGCCCGGCTGGCTCGGCTGCGGCCCGCCGCGCTCGGCTCGGCTCGGGCGGAGGGATACTCGCGGGCGCAGCGCTCCGCCGCGCGTTGGGAGCACTGTGTCTGTGACGCGAGCAGCGGCCGCCCCTACCCTGCTCCCTGCTCCTGTGACGAAGGCTCAGAAATTTTTGACGTGGCTGCTACGTACTAGCTGCCGTACCCACTCCCAACCCACCAAAGTGAGTGACGAGATATACGTAACTGGTAAGTGCACCGGGGGCATAATAACAACTAAGTGCGTGCCCCAGGCCCCGTCGCACGGACTCGACCGACCACCAGAGCCGTAATATTCCGTTCGCGAGTCGCGCGCGGCGACCGCAAGCGGAAAAGCGGAGAAATGAGCCCGTGCTCGATAAGTGAGCGGAATATGGCGTCTTTTCTGGAAATAAGTTCGCGGGCAGGAAATGGTCACCGGGCGGGCGGACTTGCATAATATTTTGGTGCTGTTCGTCCTGCGGGTCCTGTCTGGCACAGCCAGTTCCCTCCTGCCCGTGTGCGTCTGGACTTTGTGCTGTACGTGACGGAGCCAAATCCCCCGTACCCTTTCTACTGTCCTCCGCTAGCTCTAGCCAGGTCTAGCCATCTCACGGTGTTGACTCAAATTTTTCAAGGCCGCGGGGTGAAAATTTCAAGGTAGAAGGGAGAACTTTTAGGAGCGTGACGTCGCAGATATTTCTGCGCGCGTTGCAGTCGAAATAAAAGTCTGTCACGCGCCAAAAGCGTATTGATGAATGAAGTAAGCATGGACCTAACCTCACCTAACCCGCTTGGACAGTCGTACTGTTTGTTTGTTTTGCTTTCCCACCGTAGCTTTTCCAATTTAAACATAACAGTTCAGTACATTTCTGCTCTCACCTATTGTATTCGATGTATTGGTTGCTATAGTTAGGTTTTCTCTGTGAGATTCTGAAAATGCAAAGAACTGGCATATTTTCTCACCTGCTGCACCTCTTATTTTTAATACTGATTTGTAATCCAGATTCATTGTGTTGCAGGCTTAGCGCCATTGGGCTATGGACGGAATGGTTGAAGAGCATGGCCAAGTTGTAGTCGATCCACTGGCTCACAGCACACCTGGAGGGAACGCATCTGCCATCATAACATCGGTACAGCCATCAGTCCAGCCAGCAATGGCTGTGACACAATCCTCTCAAACACAGCGTCTTGTCACAACAGCTAGCATCATGCAAATCACAATACCTCAGCAACTCAGTGTTGCTAATGCAACTGATGCCCAGGTACCCCTCTGTATCTTTTCGTTAGGCTTAAATTTCTTTGGTTAGAGACTCTTACATTTGGATTCAAAGCCTGCATGCTTCCAAATTGGTACTTGATATTGCTATCTGAAGCAGCGTAGGTTGTTGCATGCTTAATCAAATTTGTCATTATTAAGTTCATTCAATTATCAGTTCTGCTTAAAGCTGCTTTTATCCAAAATGTCTTTATGGCTTGTTTATTTTGAATCTCTACTTCTTTGTTTTACTTTTTCAATTGGCTTATAAAAGTATTCATGGCTAATTACTGTCATCTAAACCCAGAACAAAAATTCTGCCACGTATTTTTACTTTACATAAAATTATATTGATAAGAGACTTTTTCTACAATTTTATTTTCTCCTTAGAGTCAGTTGTTTAGTGATTTAAAAATATTTTTACTCAGTATTTTAGTCACCTTTACTTGAAATCAAAGTATTTACCTAGGGTGTTGATTGGATAGTTATCCTACGTGAAGAATTTCGAGTGGTGTTTTAACTAATCTAAGAGGCGTCTATCTCTAAGACCACAAATATTTTGCTGTACACTTTTCAGAAGGTTTGTGATTTGCTGGATGCTGGTTTGTATTTGTTACTTTTTCCTTTGCAGAATTATGTATTGTTAGTATGTGCTCTAGTTCAATATTTTTATTGCAAAAGTTACTGTCATTTTTAATTTTGCATTTCTTGTTCTCTCTATCTTATTTACCAACACATTAGACATTTTGAAATGTACTTTCAAACTTAATTAGAAAAGCATGGTAGAAACAAATGGGTCCATACACTGATATGGACATGGCTGTCAACAATTCAATTATTTCTACACTACTTTCTGGGTCTTCAGATTTGTCATTTTCTCATTAGTTCCACTTGAAATATTTTTTTATCTTTTTAACCGCACAGTCTAGGTTGCATGTACTCAAAATTAATTTCTAATTCTTGTCTTTGTCCCCTCTAAAATTAGGTTCAGTCAGTGATACAAGCAAATAAGCAGTCTGTAATCCAGACTGCTACAGGAAACATTCAGTTGAAGCCAGGAAATGTTATTCTGGTCAAACCTAATTCTGTTATTCAGACCACACCAAATATTCAAACCATACAGGTTAGTCCAAAGGATTTTGTTAAACTTTAAAATAAATGTATGCAGTGATACTAACAATTTTCAAATCAATTTCTTACAGGTTGTTGACGCTGATAGTGACGATGATTTGTCCCCTAGGAAACGAAGGGATGTATTAAGTAGACGGCCCTCATATCGAAAGATTCTTAACGAAATTGACGAAATAGCAGGTTGGGATTTTATCTAACAATTGTCGTTATTGCAATTATTTATTGATGTTTCCAAGTGTTAAAGTGAACATCCCCCACCCTCAGGTAATCCAGGTCACAAGGTTGAATCATCATCTGAATGCGACTCAAATTTGGACAGTGAACTGTCTTCACATTCCCTCTCTGCCAACTACTCAGGTTAGTTGAAATACTTTTAAAATATTATACACAGGGCATATAATCTCAACATGGTCCCATGTTGTGTACCTCAAGATACATTTAAAGTAATTTTTGACATGTAATAATACATTTAAAAGAACAAAATTAGATAAAGTTATCTTATTATAAATCAGGTTTTGCTGGAGTATTAATATAAGTTCATATTAGTTGTTTTGATGTACATATCATGCTGGCATTCAGAAATTACTATGAATGCCATATCTGAAGTATTGAGTCTCTTTGATGTACCTTGCAATATGATATGCTCTTCAGGAAATGGTGAATGGCATGCACGTTGGTCAGGCTGGTGGTGGTACTTGGTTTCCCTTTAATTTTTGTCTTCCTCTGGTATTGCAATGAAACCAAATTTAGCATATCCACTTTGATTCAAAAGATGATTTTTTTTCACATCTTTTTTCAGATCTTGATATTTTTGTAAAACTTTCTTTTAAAAGATTTCTTATTTTTAGTTCTATGACATTCTCTTACAGTTCACTTTGCAGATTAGCTTTGAATGGATATGTATGGATTCATTGCAGTGCTACTTCTTGTTGAAAACTATCAAAGGGTGCATTTGTCAGTCTAGAAGGCTTTTGGTTTAATCAGTCTCTTGGATTAAGGGATACATTCTTAATAAATCTTTTAAGTAATTAAATAGTAGTCTTCAAATTGATACCATGAATCAATCTTATATCTTTCACAAATGTCATTTATCCATTTGTGTGCGTGATGGCTATTCCAATCAGCACAGTTTGCTTCATAAGGTATCTGTTGAAGACAAGAAATCCTTCTTTGCATGCTGTCAATGTGGGAATGTATATCCAAAATGATACAAACCTTTTGATCCTTTTCCCCCTCACTAAAACATTTGAACAAACCAACTGTATTGCAGAATTAAAATAGAATTCCTATCTAAAAAGGGGGAACCTCAAGAGCATACATAGGGTATTGCTTTTTGGATTTTTGAATAATGAAGGCGTAGCTTTCTTGTTAGGAGTTAGAGATATGGTGTTGTTTCAGTGATTCCAGCAGGAACTATACTCAACAGTCAGGGCGAAGCAGTGCAGGGACTGCACACTATCACCATGACCAACGCCACCTCAGCAGGTGGGCTAGTGCAGTACACCTCAGGGCAGGATGGCCCATTCTATGTCCCAGGTGAGGACGGACAATTGGCCACCATAGGTAGGGACACACACTCTTTTGATCAAGACACGGATGGCCCCTGCCATGCTCTTAGCACTGAGTTTTGGTTCCTTTGTCTGCCCTGCTGAGAGTCTACAATCCTCCAAGGATCTTAACAGACTTTGAATGAATTATTACTCTGTTATTAATGGTTATCATGTGTGTAGGGTTGTGTGTCACAGATATATTTGAAATGTCTCTGAGGCTTTCATGTTAAGTGGTGGTGGTGGTGGTGGTGTGCTATGTGGTGTGCTACTTTCAATCTATTCTAACTTTCTGGGACATTGTGAAAATTGCAGTTCATAACGGTCTTCCAAACTTTGTTTAGAGATCAGTCTAGTGAATCTTAAAATCAAGTTGCTCTTGGCATGCAGGCTTGTCCGCAATGCCTGAACTGCAACTAGTAACTTTTATGTTACGTTTCACTAATATCCTCAAAAACCTCACATAATTCTGTAAACTGTCCCAATTGCCCAAACCATTTGCACAATACTCCATTCTAAAATGTCTTTTTAAAATCTTATCACTTGTTTCCTGCATTAACCACACATGTTACTTTTGGTAAAGGGTTCATTAAGTTATCATACATTATATGTGCTTCTTTTCATGCTACTAATACAGCATTGTGTCTTCAACACTCTTTCTGGAAACTATAAATACTAATTGTCTTAGTTTGGCTGACAATCCCAGACTCATATGCTATGGGAAAGGTACAGGGCCTCGTGCAATTTCTTATTACTAATTTTAGTCTTATTTACCATTTCCTAGTTTTGAAAATTTTAACTGTAGTATATATACTAATTTATTTTATGTCTTCTTTTTTGACATCCTTTTGCTTACACAAGTGCCCCTGCTTTTTTCTGTCTGTTTTTCTTCCAACACACTACTGCTCGTTTCATTTTATACAACATGTGAAGTCATAGCATCATAGTATTGCATGGTTGTCCATTGTACAAATAATTATTTTGCTTTCTGTATATCTCTTACTGGTGGAAAAAATGCTTATCGCTTTAATTTCTAAAAATCATTCTAATTTTAATAATGAACAGATAGTTTACCCAAAGAGCAAAGCCTGATTTTGATGTGATATTTTTTCTCTACGTAAATTTTACATTGTACCATGTTGAGTCATTCTATTTTTTGTGTTTGTTTTGCAGTGTGCATGCCATTTTATTTGTCATTGTTTTCTATCCTTCAAATTGTCCCTTTACCCTCACTTCCTGACTCCGAATCCTTCCAGATCTCTCATACCCCTCCCTCTGCCTCCCTTTTGTCCTAGTCACCTATTCTTGTGGACGCAGCTTTCAATGTTTGGCTATATGTGATTGAGTGTTTTGGAGAGGATGTGAGTTCAAAACTTATCTTAAGATGCTTGAAAGATTTGTGTTGGGTTGCTTGACTTACCAAACTCAGATTGTTTCATTTAGAGTTTTACTTGTTCCATTTTTTTAAGGACACATTATTATACACAATTTAATTAGACCAATTTAATTGACAGTTATACCAGTTTGTTCAACTTAAGTTCTATTTGAAGGACATTTTAAAATTTCCTTTTTTTTTTTACTCTGTGTGAATACAGACAGTTTTATGATGGTTACACAGTTTGCTTGTGTTTTATTCCTATTGTGCCTGTAAATTCTTATCTTGGACCATGATGTCTGTACAATCTGCTTGTCGTTTTACAGTTGTCACACAAGGAGGTGGATTAAGTGGAGGCTCGGTCATGCCCGAAGATCAATCAAGAAAGAGAGAAATGAGGCTCCTTAAAAATAGGTAACTTTAATACATGTTTAATTTTGTCTATGTTCCATCCTAAAACTTCTTACCCCTGTATTTTCACACATTTCTTTGATTTTGTAGGGAAGCTGCCAGAGAATGCCGGAGGAAGAAAAAAGAGTATATTAAGTGCCTGGAAAACAGAGTAGCAGTGTTGGAAAACCAGAATAAAGCTCTTATTGATGAGCTAAAATCCTTAAAAGAGCTTTATTGCCAGACAAAAACAGAATGATAAGCCAGCAGGTAGCTGGCAATATGTTGCTCCATTGCTTTCTGTGATGATGCTGCTGATGTGGTTCCATCAGTCGGCTGATAGTTGCCTGGGTGTTTGGTAGCCACAACCTCCTCTGGTATCATACATTGTGTGTGAAGTTGTTGCATATGTAGTCGAAAGATGTGTTATAATTTACTTAAGTAAAAGTCATATCGTGGGGTACTTTTCTATACAATGCTTTTTGCGTGGACAATTATGAAATATTTTTGTGACATCCCCCATAACAATTTAAGTATGCCATCATTTCTCACTTTATTTTATGTCAGAGACTGTCAGCTTTACAATAGGACGATGTGGCAGTGAGTAGGGTGTGTTTAGTCGAATGCAAATCTTTCTTGTGATTTTTATTATTGTAAGTTCTGAAAGGCGATCATCCTTCGTTCCATCCTTCATTACTCCTGCATCAGGTGTGTTGGTGTGAGGTATTGTCTTGTATGAATACAAATCAAGGAAAGAGTAGTATTCACAATATGTGAAGTACTTCATTCAGTGATTATTATTGTTGCACATGCACAAAATTTATAGTTCAAGTAGTGTGTCATGTCTCCACGTAACTTTATGATTGCTGGCAATGTTGGCCTTTTCTTCCCACAAAGTATAGGCTTGTGACCAATAATAATCATTGGTTTTGTATTCTTTAATCTTGGATTATGATATTTTTTATGGTCTGAGATTTAGGCTGCAATTTGATCTGTGGGTATGGTTGTAGTGTAAGGTTCTTTACTTGAAGGCTGTAGTAAGTTTTTAATTTATTATATTTTGTTTCTTTGCCCCTTCTCCCCCTTATCCATTTTTTGTCACATGAAATGTCACTCCAAAACCTTAGACAATTAAGGGTTTTTATTCTGAAAATGTCCAGTTTTATTTTGTTTTTGAACTGTTATCTTCAATTCCTTCAATTTTGGGGGGATTTGCAATCTTTCACAAATTAAGTTTTAGTTAGTGTCCTGGAGCTTTGACCAGATGCCAATGCATCTGATAAATTATTGTCATCTATGCCCTGCAGTTTGTTCTTTTTTGTTCTTTTGGCTCAAAACATTACAGCATATTGTTGTAATTGAATGTTAACTGTATCTCCTATTTAACACGTGATAAAGCTACATACAAGTAGGCTCTTTACATCGGCCAGATAAATTTAATGCTTGTGCATGTCAAACTAGTTATAAGTCTGAGAGTGGTACAATATTTTGGTGAACATGCTATTTTAATACTGTTTTGAGTAGTAGATGTGAGTACACTTATTCTAATTTGTGATTTAGCTTTTCTTTGCTTCAATTTTCTTCAAAGAAAAATTATTGGCAGTTCAATCTGTCTGTTATTAACAGTTTTTGTGGAGAAGGGTCAGGGT